ACCTATGATATTACCTGATATGTCTGATCCAGCGACTACTGGTCCTTTCATCAGACGGGAATCGATAGAAGGAGCAAGTGGTATGATCACTTTTATGACTACAACCTGGTACAAAGCACACAGGCATCTTGTAAAAGTGAATTTATTTTTAGCGATCTATAATTTATTGGAGGGAATAAATCAGTTATGAGATCTTCTTCTTCTTCGCTTTAATTACGAGTCTTATTATAAATCACCGAGCATGCCTGTGACATCACTTACGCGACCCAGAATGGGATTTGGAATTTGTAGTCTTTGTAGTAGCGTATTTTTCATAGTCTTATATTTCAGCAGTTTTACGACAAAATGTGACTTTTTTGACCTGGAAATGATTGTTTAAGATTGACAAACATCATATGTGTAGTTCGTGGCACAATTCAAACGTGATCAAAAGATACGTGTTCTCTCTCCATTGAATTCAATGTACATTTTTCGCTTCCGGGGTCCCATGGTCCGGAAGTAGATGGGCGTGACTTCGCCTCGGCCATCTGAGTGTGTGTGGTACTGTTTGTGGTTTGTTTTTAACTGTTTAATACAGTTAATTACTCAAAATATCAGAGTTCCTTATTTTTAAACTGAAACTTGCACTACTGTTCATAATAAAGAACAGCAAACCTGGAATCATGTATTTGGGATTTTTTTTTGCTTTTTCTTGTTGTACCGAACCCGTACCGAACCGTGACCCCCAAACCGAGGTACGAACCGAACCGTGACTTCTGTGAACCGTTACACCCATTTCAAACTATTTTTTTCAGAAACCCTCTGTCGTAAAGGTGATCGTTGCCATCAAATAGATTTTACATGTTTACTATTTCTCTGCTCGAACTATGGAATTGTTTTCACTTGTTACCAGAGTGAAATTATCCTCCCAGAAGGAAGACCAAAGGCAACAAAATGTGTGTGTCCGTGTGTGTGTGTTTGCATTAATTACGGAATAAAATGATGAGTCGAGTCGAAAACGAATTAATTTTGTCCAGCTCGCAATCACAAAATCAACTCTTCATGAACTAAGAAAAACAGCTTTGTTTTGCTTTGATAAGTCAAGGATGATGAAAGTACACCGTAAATCAGTTGAATGTAAGATTTTCTCAATCAATGTCAGTCATAATTTAAAACGGAAACAAGAAAGTCACCAAAGCTGCATGTATTAACCCCATACAATGACATTATGTTTAAGTAGCAGTTCACTAGCAGGAACCACACCAAAACAGTGTGACGTTTGTAGGTTTATTGCAGAAGTAACACATGAATGATATGAGGGGGGTGAAGAGATGTTCTGGTCTGGGAGGACGTGCTGTGGTCCGTGCAGTGGGAGACTCAGGGTGGGGGTTCCGTCTCCGGCATGATCTGCTTGGGCTGATTACGGGCCTGAGTTTCTTCCCGTTAAGTGGGTATGCATCATTAATAGGTTGTTAAATGTTAAGAAGCCCTGAGATGCTGTTTCTTGCAAGATGTTGCGCCCGGGAAACCTGGCTTAACAGGTGGCATCTAACGTTAGTTTACAGCTTATTGCAGTGCTGCCGCGCCACCCTCTCGTCTCCAACACGGGAGAATTACACATAAACATGCAGCGGGGTGTCACAGTGTTGTCGCCAAGTTTAATGTAAAGTTTCACAGCTTTCTTACAGCGGAATGAAATAATGGAGACAAGCAGGATATAAATAAGGGTGGCCGTGGTTAGAGACAGGGTTTTAGGCTTGGCCATGCTCCTGAACCTATTTTATTTTTATTTTTTTATTTTTTTATTTATCCTTTATTTATCCAGGAATGTCCCATTGAGATACAAGATATCTTCTTCCAGGGAGTCCTGACCAACACGGCACACAACAAGTTTCAACATAAAACAAGGGCATTAAACAAAAAACATACAATTCAAATATAAATACAGAAGGCCATTTGTGCAGTGGCAAGAAGCATAATCACATCAGCAATAGCATCAGGTAAAACAGTTACATGTTTCATGAAGGGCTAATCGTAGCATACCTTTAAAAGCATTTACAGTAGGAAGTGCCTCTAGACAAAGTTTTACTTGCAGCGTATTCCATAAAAAGGGAGCATAGTGGGAGAATGCAGCTTTACCAAGCTCTACCTATGTTAACAAGTTAACTTAATTTCTCTGTGGATTTACTTAACCTGCACTCAGAGGAATTTTGAGTGGTTGTGTCATAAAGGTCGTTGGGAGGCATGATAATTACTTATTAGGGCGGAAACACATGTCATTCGGGACGTAAAGTAGCAGATAACTGGAAAGAGAGCAAACCTAGCTCTAGAGATGTCAGGTTAGGTAGTACTGTCTCTGAGCCTGTCACCTTGGAGAAGGGAGTTCCACAGGGCTCCATTTTGGGGCCCTTGCTCTTTTTATTATATGTAAACAATATTTGTAATCAGATGCAATTTTCTACCTATCATATGTATGCTGATGACACTATTGTATACTCATGTGCTCCTTCTCTGGATATGGCCGTTTCCAATTTAAAATCAGATGTTATCACGCTGCAGCATGCACTTCTTGATTCCAAACTGCTATTGAATAGTAAACCAAAGCCATGCTTTTTGCCAGTCAGCGTCCTCTTGCCTCTCCATTGACACCCTTGATGGCGTCTCCGTTTAGTTTGTCGACACATACAAATATCAGGGCTTTTGGTTGGACAGAAATCGAAACTTTAAACACCACATTGAAGTTCTAACTATGACATTGAAATTCACTCTTGGCTTCCTTTTCAGACTTAAATGTTGTTTTTCAACTTCTTCCTGTAAAAGGTTGGTGTCTGGCTTATTCCTGTCCCAGCTTGACTACGGTGATACAATTTATAGGTTTGCCTGTCCCACTGTGTTGGCCAAACTTGACCCACTCTACCATGCTGCACTGCGATATATGTCAAATGCACCCTATAGGACTCATCATTGCAAACAGTATAGCCTAACTGGATGGTCCTCACTTACTATGCATAGGATGCAGCATTGGTTTTTATTAATGTATAAAGCCATTTTAGGTAAACTTCCATTGTATATATGTGACAGATGTGCTCCAGTTTGTGACTCTAACAACCTCAGATCCAGTGCCTGGATACGGTTCAAGGTTCCTGCCGTGCGGACTGAGGCTGGAAAAAGGAATCTTTTATTATGGTCCTTGGTCTTGGAATGACCTTCAATCAAGCCTCAAACTGATGGCACTTGTCCCTATGTCCCTAATTTACACACGGCATCTATTGCACGTCTGTCCGTCCTGGGAGAGGGATCCCTCCTCTGTTGCTCTCCCTGAGGTTTCTCCCATTTTTCCCTTTAAACTGTGGGTTTTCTTCGGAAGTTTTTCCTTGTACGATGTGAGGGTCTAAGGACAGAGGGTGTCGTATTGTCATACTGATATTTTGTACAAACTGTAAAGTCCACTGAGACAAATGTAACATTTGTGATATTGGGCTATATAAATAAACATTGATTGATTGATTGATAGCCTGTTTTAAATTGAAGTTGTCTGAGGTCCTTACCACCAGCTGCTCTTGCAGTAATAAGTAGTGTACCTTTCTTACTGTCCCAAATGTGCACAATGTAGTGACTGCTTTTCGTCTTTTTGTTTAATTAGTTGTGTTCTCTGTATTTTATGTCTGTGTTATGTGTAATAATGTGTAACGTTGCTGCCTTCATGGCCAGGTCAGCATTGTAAATGAGATTGTATCTCAATGCTTTTTATCTGGTTAAATAAGTTAGTTTATCCAGAATCTGAAATTACCTAACTAGCGGACAGCTAGCTAGTTAGCTAGCTTGCTATTTTTGCTACTATATGCTATCATGCTACATTGGTTACATAAACTGAACCAAACAAAGTTGTAACTCACCTGGCAATACTAATTTATTTTCCTAAGCTTTGACAACTGTGTGTGGAAGTTGTTGTCTGTTTAGTTAAAATGGTAGGAGGCCCACTACATTGGTCTCAATTGCAACGGTACACAAAGGTACTCCAATGAAACTTGTAACTATGACATGAGGATTTGAGTAGGCATACACAGTATGCTTGGCATTCAAGAACTTTAGTTGTGTGTCACGAACGAGCTGAGAACCAAAATGCAACACACGGGAGACAGTTAAGTTTGAGTCCAGTTTTGGATAGTCTGCCGTGGTTTCGTTCCCCTCTGAAGTGCTGTTTGACGCTTTGGGGTAACCTTGGCGCACTGCCACTCCAACATCCAATCCCAGAGCTTGAAGATTAATCAATGGGTTTTTCAGGCAAAGGGACTGTAGTCCCAAACGATAGTTGAGGATTATGGGTAGTGTAGTGTCTTCGGCCATCCTAAACTCCGAAATGTTTTTCGGATTTCATATTGCATTAACACCATATCCCAACGTGCATTGCGGCTAAAACATCCAATCAGCGAGCTTAAACCATAGCTGAGGATCTTGGGTAATCAGTTCAGTGGGTGTGTATCGCAATGATGCTCGAAATGTCCCATATAGGCCTATGTCTGTTTCCGGTTATTTTATTTTGAAATTCAGTTCCTGACGGACGCCAAAAAAGCCAGAGATTATAGAATTAAACAAATAAATAACAAGGATAATTGTGTGTTATTGTTGAGTAAATAACAATGTTTTATTTAGAAAAGAATAACCAATTAGAAAGAAAAAAACATTTTAAAAATACAGATTTCAGTATTTTGAGGCTCTGAGCCCCATTTATTTTCCTCGCGGACGGCAAAAAAAGTCCGACATTATACGATTTAAAATAAAAACAATAATTGTGGCTTGATATTGAGTAAGGAGATGTTTTTATCAACCCCACAGCTTCCGGTCTTCCAAGACCCGACCGGACAAAAAGACGTGTTGCAGGCACGAAACACACTACCAATAGAAATACATTGCTTTTAAAATCGTTCTGTGTGCCACGAAAAAAAAAGGGGAAAACCGTGATGGTGAACACGAATCAATAGATTAAATGTCGTGACTATAACACGAAAATGCCATGAGAACATAATACAAAATACAAAAACTCTATATGACGACATTTCCAATAATTTAACTTGCACTGAAAAATGTATGACATTTATTTTAGCAAAGGCCTATAGTGTAGCGACACAGAGCAGCTAGCATGTCTGTAAATACTTGTTCTTGCTCATTTAACTTAACAAAACAGCTCACAGAGGTCACATGTGAACATCTCTACTTGTGTTACTGTGCAAAATACCAATTTTCAAGGCCCTATAGTCCCTTTAACTCACAGATGAAAATAGTGCTGAGAAATATACATGAATATCCAGACCAGCTGTCTTTTCTCACTAATAGCAATATCGAGAGGAAGAGTTGGCTCCTTATTAAATACATATGAGATATTTTAGAGCTGTGAAAGTCAAAAATAATTTTTTGTTGATGAAATAAGAATAAGTACTTTTCACAAGACAAGAGATTGTATGCGAAACATTTTTGTCCTTTCTCTGTTTTTCATCAATCCATCCTAAAAGCAACTTCATATCTCAACAGAGATATGAGACTGTAGGTGTTGTCAGTGTCATCAGTGGGCTTTATTTCATGTAGGTTTGGAGACTGCACCAAGGTTGCACATGAGTCAAAGGTGTTCTAACAGGAAGAAACTGACGTCATTGATTTGAACTGAATGCCATTTTACTTTCAAAAACAGTCAAGGACATCTATTGACGAGGAATGAATGAATAAGATGAGCAATAAATAACTAAAGGACAAGAAAGCATCCTTTAGTCGAATGTATTTTTTCTTCTTGAAAAATCAAGGGCTTTGAATTCAACTATGAAGTTGTGGTGTCAGAGACGCCCCTGAAGATTCACTGCTATTGTAGACCATCAGATATCTATTCAAATCTCCAGTATTTCCTGGAATGCAGATACATTTTCAATTCCTGCAACTCTTTTCACAGCTTGGAAAAGAAACAGGATGGAAATAAAAGGAAAAGAGAAAATATGACCCCGCATGTAAAAGAGGTGTGTATTTACAGTCAAACACTGTTTGCCAAGAGAACATATTCAAATGTTCAGTACACAGAGAGGGGCAGAGAAAAAGGAAGTCTGTGACGCTTAACCTTATGATGTGCATTCATTATTTTGGTCAACGCAGGCAACTTTCACTTCACATAATAGTCAGAGGATTAGCTGCTTCTGTGTTGTTTGTGTACCCGGGTGAAGTTGACCCGGGTGCATGTTTACAGTGTACATTTGAGACGATTAACAGAAAACAATCATTCTGCAATTCTAGGCTTCTAAAAGTCATATAATAAAACAATGTGAGAAGGGAAAATATTGCTTGCCTGACCTGCTCACAACCTGCTGCAATCTGCAAAAGTGCAACATCATGACTACATATTTTATATTGGCAGCATTTTTCAGTATCATTGTAACGAGCAGTTAACACTCTATATTAGACTGGATGCCTAAGTGTTTTTAGTCAAAAAGAATAAGATGAGGAAGTATGCAGTTATTTATTTATATTGCACATGTTCTCCAGTTTTACAGCTTGGACTTCTTCAGGGTCTTGTCCAGCGGAGCTCTTTCTGTTTCTGGGATGATCTTTGTCCACAGGTTCAGAAATCTCTGGTTGGAAGCCAGCTTCTGGAGGAGGATCTGTCCGTGGTGCCTGTGGAGGAAGAAGTTATTTGTTAAGCACAAAGTTCAGATAAATACAATTGAAATGGTGAAAACAATCAACACAAAACAAGAGGAGCACATTACAAGATTAAGCAAAGTTCTACACTAAATCCATATAACTTGACAACGTACCTCACGTCTGGTGCAGCATCCACACACATTTTGGAGACGGCTCTTAGGAAGTGTTCGGTGAAGCTCGTTCCTGCTGCCAAGACGCAAGCTGCTCCAAATCTGTCGACCTAGAGGTGCAGGTGTTGGGCCATGCTCCCTCTTACTGCGACACACCGGTGACTGAGGAGGGACAAATACAGGGTGATATGAGACAAACTGTCTCTTACTGTTTCATTTCATTTAGTCTGATAACTCCTGCTGCTAAAGTGAATGCAGCCTCCACTTACTTCAGTCCCGTGTTCAACAGAGTGCTCACTGTCCGCCCATGGCTGCAGTTCTCCACCATGGCGCCCAGTGCAAGATTGGCCTGCTACTGAACAAAGTTGCTGGCGGTCTGCGCTAGTTTGAGCAGCAGAGCTCGGCCTGTGGCTTCGACCTCCGAGTCCATTGCCTTTTTGAGGTTCACATACAGCTCGGCTAACGTGGTCATAGCCTCACAGGCCACTGCTGAGCGTAGGTTATTTACCTATGATAAAAAATGACTGTCATCACTCAAGTCTGTAGGGACATTTTGGCTAATGATAACAGCGTGAGACAAAGAGATCTGAACAAAGATACAAAAGGGAAGTGTGTAAAATACCTCGTCAAATAGAGCCAGACACTCTTCATGGCGTTTTGTCTTGAGAGTCTGGGAGTGGTGTTGTGCCAGAGCTTGCAATATTTTCAAGCTTTGCACTTTCTTCTCCCCGTGAGTTTACATGACAAAAATGATGGTCAGTAATAAAATAAATATAAAAAGTCACTTGCAGTTAAACCTGCTACTGTAAACATTGCTAACTTTAAATGTAAAGTCTAATTAAGAAACATTTTACGCTCTTCTAAGAGGTTGCATCAATGTAATGTCAAACAAATTATTTGCAACATGAAAAATATGTATTCTCTGATCTGGTACAACAGATCTTTATTGCTTACCAGCCTTCAGAGGCTTTCCATCGGATTGGTCAATGGCTGCAGCTCAACCTGTTCAACTTGTTTATCATTTGTCGTCTGGAGGCTGCAGTCCCGGGCAGCCTTCTCTCCTACTAACAGCAGATTACTCTGTCAAAGCACTGCACTCACCCAGTGATGAATCAGTTATCATTAGAACATGTTATTAATCATATGTTAAATGGTGTCGTGTCTAAAGATCAAGCTTTCGGGTGTTTTATATGTGGGTGACCTGCTGTGTGCTGAATTAAAGATTGTCAGGTTACACAAGGAACTGAAGGGAATTGTTTGAATCCAAAGAGAAAAATCAAGTGTTCACAAAAACCTCCAAGACCCCTCTGAATAAAGGTCAGAGCTTGTACTAAAGCTGTTCAGGATGTGTGATAAACGTACCTGCTATGGCTTTTGCAGGTTGCAGCAACATCACAAGTCGAGATACCCTCCTCTTGGTTCTGGGAACTGTTGGAGGGGTCGGGTCCAGAGGCGTCATCGCAGGGCTCACTTTGGGGGAACATCTTTAATGTGTTACCCAACAACGTCCAAAACACATCCTTAGTGTTGCAGCCAGGCAAAACGTTCCACCTTTGTTAACATATCACATTAAAGGAACGTTTTATAAAAAAACGTTCTGTTATCTCAGGCCTCAATAACATCCTCAAAACATCCTCTGAATGTTGCAGTTAAAACGTTATGTCTTAGTTAACCTTAAAACTTATAGGAACATTATTTGAAAAAATAAACATCCTAAAAAGGTTCTTTGAACATCAGATTAAAACGTTTCTTTAAAACCTTATTAGAACCAAGGTAACGTTAGCCAAAGTTGTGAGAACGTTCCCCGCTAGCTGGGTGATCGAGAGAGAGTCTGATGTGTCGGGGGAGGTCAGCGGTGTGGGGGAGTGAGATACTGAAGGGGAGGGGGATGTGGAGGTGGGAGACTGAAGCTGTTGGGAGGTGTCATGGGGGATGGTGTCAGGACTGAACTCTTTGTTTTCAAATCTGCAGTAGAACTGATTCATATCGTTTGCAAGGCGTCGGTCGTTCATGGAGAGAGAGGCTTTTGGCTTGTAGTTTGTGATCTGTCTTAAGGCCGCTACACACCCACCTGAGACCAGAGAATGCGTACCGAAGGCGCCCCGACTTTTACCTCTGCTACGTCGCCTGCGTCGGCTACGCCGCCCGCCTACGAACACACCGCAAAGACTTCAGTCGACGAGTGGCAATAACTGCCCTTACCAGCAGGCAGCGGTAGTGTGTATTCGTCATTCAAAAGAGGCAACAGCCAATCAGAGTGATTTCTTTGGCCGACTTTCTTTGGCCGCGGGAGGTGTGAAAATGTGCCAGCAACGACGGTGCAGGACACACCAACCTGAGTAGGGTGCCGCGAATGCCCGACTGCCTCTGACGGCCTCTGACTCCCAAAATCGGGTAGGTGTGTCAGGGCCTTTAGACCACACCAAACAGAAGCAGAGTCGTTTGCTGAGAGCTGATGTTGGAGTTTCTCAGAGTATTGTTGTTTAGCATCTCTCACCGCCTTGCCAAAGACGTACTTCGACTCTCTAAAACGTGCCTTATCGCCTTTTCTAGATGACTCCTTCTTTTGCAATCTTAGCTGTTTCAGTTTTGGTGTGAACCAGGGCTTGTTGTTGTTGAAACTCACCCTGGTGCGCGTTGGTACGCAGCTGTCCTCGCAGAAGTTGATGTATGACGTCACAGCCTCTGCATATTCATCCAGACTTTGCGTTGCAGTCCTAAACATGTCCCAGTCAGTACAGTCCAAACACGCCTGAAGTTCCTCCATAGCTTTACTACTCCACTGCCTGAATGTCCTCACTACAGGCTTACACAGCTTAAGTTTCTGCCTGTATGCAGGAATCAGGTGAACCATGGTGTGGTCAGAGTGGCCCAATGCAGCGCGGGGGACTGCGTGATAGGCTCCCTTGATGGTTGTGTAGCAGTGATCCAAAATATTACCCTCTCTGGTGGGGCATTTAATAAACTGTTTATATGTTGGGAGTTTGTGGCTGAGGTTGCCTTTGTTAAAGTCACCAAGAACAATAACTAGGCAGTCCGGATTAGTCCTCTCCACACAAAGTATCTGGTCGGCAAGTGTGCTCTGTGCCTCCTGCACATTAGCATGTGGTGGAATGTACACACCTACCAGTATGAATGAGGAGAACTCTCGGGGGGAATAATGCATGTGTTATAACCATGGATGTATAATAGTGCCACAGTCCTAAAACCCGGATTAAAGTTAGCATTTTACCACTTCCTACTTTTATAATTTTCTAATCATAAATCTTATCGATAGATTTATGATCGATAGATTTATGATTCGAAAGTTATAAAAGTAGGGTAGAGACATGTGGATATTATCCGGCTGAACAAAACGTGATCTGTCTCTTAAATGTGTGTCAACCACAGACCTTATTTCGAGCTATTTTCCAAAATCCTATGGAGAAATGGCATTGTTTTTTGTCGAAGGAACCGGAAGGAGTTTACTTCCGGGTTTTAGGATGCGTCACTGTGGCACTCTATGGGTGTTTCTCAATGTCGAGGATGCTTGCTTGGTAGCACATGTCTTCCGAGTCACTTGCTTCAGAAGCGAGGCAAGAATCCTTCCTAGCCTCGGAAAACGAAGAATTGTGGAACAGGCTAACAGGTGTGCAGGTGTGCGTCATATGCGAGGCCCCGCCTTAAATGGAGCGCGATTTCCGCCAAAGATTTGGAAATTGCGCAAAGCATTGTGGGGATTTTAAGACCGCAGAGTCTACACATGTGCAGCCTCGACATTTCTCGCTATGAAGTATGCCAGGCTCGGTAGAATTCAAAGTATGCTGGACATTGGAACAGTACTTCGGCGGCACTCGATGACATAGTATGCTTGAAATAGTGGCTCTGGAGCAGCTTTACTCGATATTGAGAAACACCTTATAAGAACTGGATACAGCGTCGGAGGCGGGGTCTCGCTCTTTCCTATGAGAGCTGCCCATTGGCGCATGAGGACAAAATGGCCCAACTTTTGAGAGAGCGAAACGTCACAGATTACCCATCATGCCTAGCTGTCAGAGTAGAAGAACCATGCAGAAGAACCCGTATGTGCGCTCACAGAGCATGCGCCCCTTAAAGATGGGGTATGTAATTTATTTCAGAAACACTTTTTGTTATATTCCATGGAATGCTCTTAACATCCCGATAGCAATGAATATATGAAATGCTTTGACAATAAATACATACAAAAATGTCATCTGTGGAAGCCGTAGCGCTGTAAAAAGCACAACCAATCATTTTAGTCGGCCCGGCTAAAATAACTGGATGGCCTACCTGCCTGTCAGCCTTCCATCTGTGCACACATTTATCTCGTTCCCTCATTGGTCATGTGCGTGTTCGTATCCGCTGATTTACAGACGTCTCTTTCCCAATGTTAGTCAATGGGGAAAAGTCTTTCTGGGCCCAGTGACGTCACGGACTGATACGGAAATTGTAGTACCGCCGTTTGGAGTCCGGCGCACTTCCTGGGGGCTTGGTCAACACAGCCAAGCTATAGGTGGGCTTGTGTTTGTCGTGGTGATGTTTACAAGCTTCAGACACTCATGAATGGGGTAATAACTGATGGTTTTTCTTGTTAAATAAAACGCTAAAAAAATAGATATAGAACCCTTTCACAAAATGTAAGAAAATACATGTTGTGTATGTTTTTAATATAAGCTTAAATCTTACTGAAACAGTCATTTAAGTCCAGTGGTTAATTAATTAATTAATTACATTATTATTTATATATCCTGGGACTCGAGGAAAAAAAGTGTCTTCCAATTTCCTTTTTTTTGGAATTTCCTACCTATTTAGGGTTAAAAACAACATCTTGCAATTTAGACTTTTTTAATTTAATTTTTAAATGTTACAGTATGTCCACTGTAGAGGACGTCAGGACCATTTTAGTTTGAAAAGACAGCAACAATTAACAGATAGACAATATAACGTATTATAGTTATAGAGTGATATTAATAAAATAATACATTCACCTTTATTTAAAACATAAATAAGTAATTGATCTGAACATTGCTGTTAATTGGTTACTAAAAAACTAGTTTGGTTTTTGGTGAATCTTTCCAGATCTTCAAATACTTTGTAGTCAATGTACTGGAAAAGTACCTAATTGACTCCAGTCGGCACGGGCTGTAGGGTCATCTTGACTAGTTTTATGGATGTGGTCTCCATTTGACCTTGCTCATAGAAACAAAGCTTGCATTCCTGAGGCAATTCTCATTTTTCATGGCTCCACTTAAAATAAAAACAACAATAATACCTCATTCACACCAACGGTGTTTCAGGGCCGGTTCGGAGCTGGAGCTTGAAAAGCACCGGGTTTTCCTCTTCACACCGCAGCGAAGCAGCCTCTTAGCTCCGGAATCCGGTTCGTTTCAAGCACCAAAAAAGTGTCCAGCCAGAGCAAAAGCACCGCTTACGTCGAGGCGGGGGCAGGGGGAGGGGCGGGATCAACTCCTGAACAACAACAAAAAGCCGGCGTTGTATCCAGTTTGTACACAACGATGGAGAAACTTAACAAGCAGCAGTGGTCAACTGAAGAGACCTACTACTTACTGGGAATCTGGTCTTCCGAAGAGGTACAGAGGAAGCTGGAGCACAATCAGCCATTGTTGTTGTTGTCGGTGTCAGCTGTGAGGGGCTTCCGTGCGGTTTGGAAGCAGGCAAGTAAACAGTTACGTCATGACGCAAACGATGACGCAATGACGCAGCACCAGTCGGACTCTGGGCAGTGTGAAAAGAGCCGGAGCTAAACCGAAGAAACGGTTCTGAACAGGGCCGTTTATTCCTATAGGCGGACTATGCAGGGGCATAGGGCCCCCGCGGCCACTAAGGGGCCCCCAAGCTGAAAGTATTTTTATTTTTTTTCGATTAATCCGAAAAACAAAAAAAGTTTAATTCATACACACAAAGATGAACAAAATTAGTAGAAGCGGGAGGGCTGAAGCATAGCTTGTGGAAAGTAGCCCTCCCGTGCACCATCCTAATACAGCGGCATTATTGCGTCAAAATTGTATAGAAATGAAGGAGTACAAAGAAATAAAGAAAACAGGAGAAAAAATTAAATAAAAGTTAGGGCAGGAAAACAATAAATGCATATATATATATATATATATATATATATATACAACAACTAGATATAGGGTCATTTACTGCACATGTCAATAGCAGTTTATAACTATCTTTTTTTGGAAATTAAAATACTATATATAAATATATACATAGGTACACATGTACTTGGCAAATGAATAATAATAATAATAATAATAATATATGCATAGTTGCATAAACATTGTGAACACTTATTTTCAAGTGACTTTTTTTACATTCATATGTTCACGCTGTGGTTTGGAACTACTTTTAAATGTTATTAGGCATTTTCTTATGGAAAATGTTGTGCATATTTTAAGCTGTACTATCTCAACACATTTTAATAGATTGAGTTTTTTTAAATATGGGAGTTGTGTGTTCATATTTACCAACACCACAGTCTATTCGTAATACTTTTTTTTGGGATGTTATTATTTTTTGTAGATTTGTTGAGTACGTGTTTCCCCATATTTCGGAGCAG